AGTAAACTAGATCACCTACTTGTCCACTTCAAAAAAATGCATTTAGCTTCGTGAAATAACAAACATCTGTTTTCTTCTAATAAAATATTCCCTTAAAGAAATTACGACAATGACAAAGAACGACAGATGGGAAGAAAAAGAGAAAGCCATACGTTCCTTATTCTAATAAAGAAGCCAAAGAATGCTTTCTTCACATTTACAGCATTAAGATCATGTGCTTCTCACAACAGAAACCAAAACAGAATCTCTGTCTAAATTCACAGAGGTTTAAAAGTATATTAATCACTCAGCTGTAGCAAAGAAACACTAAGGAAGGCCAGACAAAAGACAAGGTAAGAAGAGAAGTCGGCAAGGATTACAGATCACCTCCCTATCGTGACTTGGTAAAGGAAGTCTGGCGATTCCCTTACAATTCGGGAAACACTACAACCCATCACGTGCACAGAAGGAGCATTGCAAGACTCATGGGAAGACTGTGTGAAATCTATTTCTGACCAGATATTCCTGAGGCCAAGCACCCTGGCTCTCTTACATGCGGCCCAAAGGTACAAATCTCACAGGAAGATGATCTCCCATCCTGTTAATCCCAAGCTCCTAGCTCCTGGCAGTCCGGCTCCTGGCCTTGCTCAAACCAACTGGCTCCCTGCTCTGGGCAAAGACAGCACAGAGGGCCAGGTCTCCAGGGGCTCCTCTCTCTGGCGGGCCCCTCCTCACTCCAGTTAGCACCACGTGCATGTGTGTTATCCCCAGTGAAAGTGACTGTCAGCTCCAGAACGTGCAGCACAGACTTTCCATTCAACAGACATTAGCTAAAATGAATCACATTTAAGTTTCTCTGAGCCCTGGTTTCTAAGTACAGAAAATGACAATAGAATCTTTTCTGTCTTTTTCATGGAGGTGTCACAGGCTGAAGTGACCTAATACAGATAAAAAGGATTCTATAAAATGGAATGGGCCAGGCAAAGGTAAGGAGTGCCATCCAGCAGGTGAACATCACAACTACTGCAATGGATGAAGTTACAGGACACGGTAGGACTTCAACGGCCTCTGCTCAAGCTCCAAGGAAAGCCGGCAGTGCACAAAGATTGTAGGAAAGTGTTTGTCATGAGTGGTTTGGGGATTATGGGTCAGAATGGAAGGTTCACAGATGCTCCTGGAATGGAAACTTCATGGGAAGAGAACCTTCATTCGTTCACCAAAGATTCCTCTGGCTGGAGGAAATGATGAACAGGAAACAGAAATGGGAGGACCACCAGAGCTCCAGGCTTAAACAGAGGGAGTCAAGGGGGCCTGGCAAGCAACACCTACGGTCTGTGGTCCTTTAGCAAACCTACTGCAAACCTTTTCCTCAGAACTCCTGAAAAGTTCTCAAATGAGAGGTAGCAGTGTGTAAGAAAATAAACACAGGTTTAGGAACTCACAAGCAAACAAATCCAAATTCTTCTCTGAGCTCTGCAATTCACCAATTGGATGGTCTCGCCTCAAAACACAGCTAGAAGAATCTGCTTTGCAAGGCCAATACAAAGAATGAAGTTGATAATGCACTAGAGACAGTGCAGGGCAGAGTGGACACTAAGTAAATGATCATCTTCTGTCCCTTTTTGCTGAATGAAGGATGAATCCTACTCAAATGTGATGACCCCAATCTCACCCACCTCACTCATTTGGTTTTGGCGCAGACACACAGCCAAACTACCCCGGAGGCCCCTATTTTCGGGAGAAGGACAATCCATTCAGACAACACAATGAGAATTAACAGCCCAATGACAAAGACCAGGTACCTAACCCTCCAATTCCCCAAAACTACAAAGCCTTCTGAGTGTTCCCAATTCCTCATGGCAACAATGAGCAAGGCAAGTAACTGCAACCCCTGGCTGTAATCAGGATTTGGCTACCAGAATAAACAAGCCCCTGGCATGTCCAGAGTAAGACTGTGGTGTTGTCTGGGGGTCTCTGGAAGGAGAGAAAATATCCAGAGCTAATGCTTTTGGGTGCAGGCCTTTTGTTAGTACAGCAAAAAAAAAAAAAAAAAAAAAAAAAAACGGGGAGAAAAAGAGGCATTCTCATACTAGAGGCTGAACTCCCTCACCTCCTTGAGAGTGTTTGCTCAGAAATCAGCAGTGCCATTAGCAACTGCACAGGCCAGGGACACACTGTCGACTTCCTGTGAGGCCTAGTGACCAAGACACAGCAGCACTTGGGTGCATTCCATGTTTGCTTACAGTGCAACCTGATTCTGACTCCAGTGAGTTATTTCATAAGCCTTTTAAGGGTACTGCATTTTGTTCCTATAAGAGGCCAATCCAAATTAGCAACAAAAGAATAGCTAAACACCAGAAAAACCACCTCTTTTGTGCTGTTCAAGAAAGGCAGTCTTAGTCATTAAAAAGGTAAAGTGTCTTATTCTCTATCAACTTTCTTTTATAAGGATCAGTCCAGTAATTTTCCAAGGGAGGGGTAAGCAAACCTGTACTAGTACCAGCTTGAGGCTAAAGAGAAGTAGCACCATCATGCAAACATGCATCTCCTAGGAATCACTCCCATTATCACCTGCTACATAACAAATTTACCCCAAATTCAGCACCTTAAAAATGTCCATTTTATTTTAAATCTTTATTCTCCTGTTCTTCAGACCAGATAATTTCTACTAACACATCTTCAAGTATACTGACACTTTCCTTTGATCTCTCTATTGCATTTTTAGGCAAATTCAGGAATTCTTTTTAATTTCAGATAATGTATTTTCATTTCTACAACTCTATTTGGTTCTTTTTTATAGCTTTTACTTTTCTGCTGAGATTATCCTATCTTTTCAATCATATGATGCATATTTTCCTTTATACCTGACAGTTAAGCTTCATTGTCAACTTGATTGGCATGAAAACCACCAAGGGAATTAGTAAATACACTTTTAGGGTTATCTGGGTGAGTCATAAAGGCATGACCTGGAGGTCTGTACCTAATCCACGGCCCTTTTCTCTGCTCTGTCTCCCAAGGGCCATGAAGTGATAGGCTGTCCTCTGCCACACTCTCTGTCATGCTGTTTCTGATTGGAGCCAGCTGACCATGGACTGAACCATCTGAAACCATGAGCCAAACAACAGCAACCACCCCCTTTAGCTCTGTGTGTCTGATATTTGGAACCAGTAAAGGAAAAGGGACTAATACAGCAGCCTTGAGTTACAACTGCTGTTTTAAAACCCTTGTCAACACATGTCACGTTACAGTCACTTTTCATTGATTACATGTTCTCCTGAGAAGGGGCCACATTTTCCTGTATACCAAATAATATCGGACACTGTGAATGCTCTGCTGTGGAAATACTAGATACTATTATATTCATCTACTGAGCCCTGATAGTTTTGTTCTGGCAGGTAATTATCTCGGCTAGATGTAAAACTGCCCATGTAAGAAAGAGCTGCAGCTCAAATCGTGAAAAGTTATTTTGCCTTTAGCTTAGCTGCCTGGAGTCTGCCCCATACACGTGTGACTCAGGCACCAGCAAGGACAGAGGCAGCTGAGGCACAGAATTCAAAGCTTGCTTTCACCTTTCTGGGATTTTCCCCACACTTTCCAGGGGTTGTGAGAGCCCCCTAACTGTCCCTGATTCTTCAATGTAGGAAAGACTACAGGTTTTCCATCACTCTGAACTGCCCTGCATGTCAAATATTTTGTCATTCCCTTCCACTAATGTCAACTTCACTTCATTCAGAGCCTGACTCTTGTGTCAAATCTTGAGTGTCTACATGGCTCTCTATTGTCGAGTTTATAACTGCTATAGCAGCTTCCTTAGCTACTAACATGAGGAAACCTAAGCTTTTTCCCCTCAAAGTGTTTCCCTTTTTCTCACAATGTTGTGGTTCGGGAATTCAGAGGTTTTGCTGATCTATGAGGCATCAGCTGGGCAGGTCAGGCACCAGCGCTGCAGCTGCTTCCGAGAGGGCTTCCCGCACACCTCCGAAGCCCTGGTGGCCCTGCCTGGACTCCCTCTGTCTTCACTGCTTCTCAGCCTCCAGAGCTTCCCCGCCTAGGCTCACCAACTCACGACAAAGGGATCTCAGAGAATCAGCGCTTCCTATACGGGGACTGGCTTCAGAGAAGCTGGAAATAAAGCTGCCAGGTCAATTGTGACTATGCTAGAAATGGTAAATGATCACTCCTGCCGTGTCTTATTGCTCAGAGAGGTACAAGTCCTGGGCAGATCCAAGGTGGTGGAGAAACAAATGTCAATCCTTGAAGAGGGAGTGGCAGAGTCACACTGCAGATATACATTAAATGACTCACATTTTTGTCAATGTTTTAGAAAATATAATCTGCCACAGACTATTTAATGAAACAAAATAAATGCCATCCAGAATAAAACTCCAGGAGACACAGAATGCTAGCCCAATGTGTACCATGTTGTCTAACCTTCCCACAACTCTTTATCGCTGTCTCAATGTAATTAGCTCCTTACCATTCAGCACAAAAGGTTTCCAAAAACAGTCTTCTAACTTTCCAAAGACTTAAGATGGAAATTCATGTCCCCTTCAGAACATCTCCAAAAATGACCATGATGTTATCATTCATAAACGTAGTTTACAGATACAATGGCTTTTTGTTTTATTTTTTCTTAAAGGCCAGTTATAATTTATGTTTTTTAAATGTCTATTACATGGTAAAATTTTTTTCAGGGCTAGTAAATACCTGTTTTTATTGGCTGTTGTCTACATGATATTAGAATGTCCAACACATAAGCTTCAGACAAACACTAAGAACTGATAAGAAAGGAGGCTGGCTGGGCACTCAAGACAAAGACAAAACAAAACTATGAAAATACACACCCTACTAAAAATGTGTTTGTTTGTGTGAAAAATATATAGTACATACTTATATTTTATATGATATATAATATATATCTTCCCAATGCTAAGGACCTCAAGCTTTTTGTCCCAAATGAATATAATCTAAATTCTAAATAAAGCCATACATATACGACACATATTAAGAAGTAATCTCACCTTGTCTTGGTTATCTTTATTCTTGTAACACAGATTTCCAATCAGACGAATGAGATGAGACTTAAACCCCTCCGCCATATTTGAAACATCACCTTCTGCTCTTACACAACCAGAGGTACTGAAGATGTTTGTGGTATCATTTCCAGTTACATGAATCATTCGTAGAAGATCTAGAGCCAAAACAGTAAACTTCATTTTCCACAGAAAAAAAAATTTTAGTACCTGGCACTACATTTCCATAACATAATTTTTAGTATTTGGTACTCCGTTTCCATAACAAATCTAATTTATTTTAATGAATTAAAATAAAATATAGGTATAGTACTCCTTATGTAATGAGATTTATACCACTTTTTTTTTTTTTTAACTGTAGTTTTGGGAAGAGAAGCCATAGAGATTATCCTGACTTGAACTTTTTATTCATCCATAAAGAAAAGTCAACTAAAAATTTTCCAGCATCTTTTTTATAGAGCCTTTCAATTCGAATTTCTTTATATGAGAACTCACCTGACATTGAGGCAGCTAAGCCTGAGTGACAATATGTTTCTGTAATAACCTATACCACAGAAATCAAGAGAGCTTTAGTTCGCTCAACAGTCAAATCATCAGAGACAGCATGTTCTCCATGAACCTACCTTAGCTACAGTCAGAATCAGCAACACTGTCACACTCCATTAACACCTACCTGCAGGCTCTGAAATCGGTTTCCCAAGAGCTGTAGGCAGCGCTCCCACATTATCTCACTTAACCCTCTCAGCAAATCTAAGAAAAGCAGGTATCACCTTCCCAACTTTAAAATGAAAGCACCAGGCTCAGAGAAGTTAATATCATGGCAGAACTGGGACAGCAACCCACATATCCTGCTCCACAGTGATGTCCAGGCTGGTGGTTTTATCCCGATTACCACTAAAAGTATGGCATTCAACATACAACAGTGGATGAAGGATGGAGCTCTCCATACCTTCTACCGCTCACTGTCAGCTCAACTACACTTGTGACACAAAGTCACCTTTGTTAGCGGATGGGCCTCCGAGAATAAGAACAATCTTCTTCAAGGGGAACACAGTAATGGGCTAACCATATAAAGTAGGTTCTCTGAATTATCTTGCAAATAGCTTGGTAATAAAGACAATAATACTTTAAATAATAGGTTCTTGTTTAAAACAATCTTCTTACAAGAACATAAGAAATGTAAAACACTATTTCATGTGTTCAATAAATGTAATTGGGAAAAACTTACTGTCAAATGTTGCAAAGCTAAATTATTTTTTAAAACAATCAAGCTCATTATCGTAAACATCCACTCTATAATCACGACTACTGCACCCACTCCTGCTGAAACACCTACAGCAGGCATCTGCTGGGGGCCTCTCTGTGCTCACCTTACTAAGCAGGTGCCCAACCTCATTACAGAAGGGAGCAGCAGAACTACAGCGTGGTCCCAGGATGCTCTGTGTCCAAAGCCTGAGTTGTTACTATGACACCATGATTTCTCTCGAGAACAAATATTCAGACAAATCTCAAAAGTTTTATCACAATGCTAAAAACTAAGGATCTGTTTTTGGATTTATATTACAGCATGACAAGTTGAAGATTTGTAAAATGAAAATAGTGTGTGATATTTCACTCACCAATCACTCCTTCCAACAAGCCAGGAAAGACCTGCAGATAGCCCAGCAGCTCAGTATTGGCCGTCATTTCACACAGCACATCCAGAAGCCTAATTGTGGCTAGTACTTCCTAAACAGACAAGGAAAAGTGACTTTAAAAGTATGTAAGAAGCTAAATGATTTGAGTGTTGCAGGTAATGGTAAGAGAACAAAATGGGATGATGAATATTAAAGTCAGTGCTTATCTAAAGAGAGAAATATTTATGCAGAACAAAAGAGTTATTAAATATGTTCTGGGACAGACATTTCTACTAACTACAGACATCTGCCATAGAGAATGCAAGCTTATGCATTATCACTGTTTTCCTGGAGCAAAGAATCAAAAAAGTTCTTATTCAAGCAAGAATAGCAGTGGGCTAAATGCTCAAAATTACTAGCTATGCCTACATAACATTTATGCAAATACTTTCTTTTTACAGTGCTCCCAGTATGCAAGTTCTGCTTTAAAGATGCAAATATACCAGGAAATACATTAATTTCTTGTTCACAGGAATCCTAGAAAGTACTATAGTTTAAAACCTCTAGTTTGGGGACATATTATTCCTGTGCAAATAGAAACCGATAAGCAATACCTTGGTGGGATGGAAAGGATAGTGTGATTTGAAAATGTTAGCATACATAGCTACTAAATAGTTTATATCAAATAAAACACATAGCCAAGGACCTACCAAGTACCACCTGCATGGCATTAAGTACTCTGTATAAAACTTTAATATACAATTTTTTGAGAGATTTTTAAACCCTACTTTTATAGTAAACATTATTTGATGAAAATGTAATAAAAACTATAAATTTAGATAATAAAGATAACATTATCCAAAGAAAGACAAATTCCTCTTATTACTACTAAGTGTGTATTTACTATTCTCTAGGAGATTTAAAGTAATGGGGGGGGTTGTTTGTTTGTTTTTGGGGTTTTTTTTTTTTTTGAGACAGGGTCTCACTATGTAGTTGAGACTGACCTGGAACTCACTATGTGTATCCCAGGCTGGTCTCCAACTCACAGCGATCCTCCCGCCTCAGCTTGCCGAGTGCTGGGATTACAGGTGTGTGCCACCACACCCGGTTTAAAAGTAATACAGAAAGAAATAACACTTTTCTGTATAATATCCCAGGCTGGTCTCCAACTCACAGCGATCCTCCCGCCTCAGCTTGCCGAGTGCTGGGATTACAGGTGTGTGCCACCACACCCGGTTTAAAAGTAATACAGAAAGAAATAACACTTTTCTGTATATATGTGGCACTGGGAATTAAACCCAGAGCTTCATGCATGCTAGGCAAGCACTCTACCACTGAGCTACAGCCTCGGGCCTTTCTATTTTTTGAGGAAGGTTCACACTAAGTTGTCCAGGCTGGCCCTGATCTTGAGATCCTCTTGCCTCAGCTTCCTATGCAGCATAGATTGCAGGAGTGCACCAAATAACAGATTTGTAATATCTCTGATCTTAATCACAGCTTTCACTTGCTAATTAGAGAGTGAGGGAATTAGTACCATGAAAAAAGTCTTAAGCAAACCCATTAACTGCACAGGGCTGCAGCACGCTCTTCAGGTAAGCGGGTAGTTGCCCAGACTGTCATCTCCAGACACCATCTCTCCTAAGAAATGCCTGGCTCACATCAGGCATGGGGCAGAGCATGTACGAGATGAGCCTGAGCAGCTGTCACGCCACACAGCACAGCAGAAGGAATCAGAAAGGACAGCACAGTACAAGATTTAGAGGAATTGCATTCATCTCCAACAGACTAAAAAGCAAGTCAAGTGGTTTTAAAGCTATGGCTTCATAATGACAATTAAATATCATCTTTCAGGTGATGCCGCAACATAAATGTATTGCTTTGAAGATTGGTCATCAAGGGGAAAAAGATAAAGCATTTATCATTTCTTTCTTAATCAAAATGTACCTGTGACAGCTGGTTAGGGAATGATTCTCTTTAGAAAATACTCCTGCTAATGAGTAAGTAATGAGTAATAAGAGTCAGAAAACCATTACTTTGCAGCCTCCCAAAATTAAGAGACCTTGGTAATCACTGAAGACCACTAACACCACAAAGGAAAGATGACCAAGCATTACGTGACTCTTAGTCAAAGTGCATCACCAACGATAAAACAGGATACAAAACACAAAATCAACAGATGAACCCAAACCTCAGTATGCTTCTGAACTAATTATCCTTCTCAGCCAACCCAGGGCGAGGGGAGAAAGTCAACCATAACTGTAGAAACACGTTCATCAAACTGGAACCGCATAAAAACTCCACAGATACCAAGCCAGTTTCTTCAGCAAAGGGAGCAGAAAAAGGAAAAAGAATGAGGGACTGGGGAAACATAAATATTAAAGGACAGGGGAGATACATCAATGAATTGCAAAGTATGGTCCATATTTGTCACTGATTCAACAAAATGAACGTGAGTTTATTAAAACAATGAAGAAATCTGCATACTGTTTATCTGGTATTAAATTTTTATCATTATAAAAATTTTTTAGACATGCTGGGTTATTGTGCATGGGTCTGAAGATGCCTGTCTTTTAGAATGTCTCCTGAAGCGTGTGACAGCTTGGTTTCCAGCCAGGGCACGGCTGGCAGGGGTGGATCTGTGCATGACATGAGGACCACAGCGGACCAGGGATGCCATGAAGGGTGGGACACAGAGTCCTCGCACACTCTTTTCTCTCTTTCTACGTTTGAAACTCTCCACGCTAAAACGCCAAGAACAAAATTAGGGATTTGGAAAACACGATCTGGAAGTTTCTTTCCAATTCCTAAAATCTATGATAGTAACCAAAGTAAACCCAAAAGAACATTAATCTGTCCCCACCTGAAACACCTCCAATTTTAGTTATTAGAATTTTTTTTATTAATAAAGTGTTTCTCATGAGCACCTGGAAATTAGAATGAAAACAGTCAGGAAAAAAATACTTGCTTAAAAACTAAGAGTAATGAGTAAAACCTTCTTCCAGATGCTTAAAAGTATTCCAAAACTACTGGAGTTATAATTAAATCAGGAATAAAACAACATTCTGAAACATTTTTAAAAGGGCAGAAGAAAAAAATTTCATTTCCTATCTAGTTTACATTTTAACTACAGTGTTTTACAACTTTGTAAATTATAGAAAAATAACAATGTCAATATTTTTGCCTATAAAAATGCAAATTAGTTGTGTCTGAGCAGAATGCAATTAATTACTGCCTTTGGCGCAGATCAGCCTTTATATCCTCTGTTATATTTTTACTTCAGTATTCCCTTACTGCACAGAAACACACAACTCTTCGAATTTTCCTTCTCCCTATTAGTATCTTACTGGTTCCCTCTGTGAAAGCTGAAAACCTAGAAATGGATCCAATATCTAAGCAGGTACTATATGATAAAGATAATGAAAGCGGGATGCTAGTCACTCAATAGTACTGATATGATGATTAACAGCTCCGCTTAGGAAACACTGGTTAGGTGCCAGTCGGCATACTTTGGTGAAATACAGCTTACAGTGAAATATGACCCATTTTGCAGGCAAAGAAAACAGGCATGCAGTGGATAAGAAACTTTTCCAAGGTCGCACATTAGCAATATAAGAAACCAAGATTCAAACCCAGTCTTGTGCCAAAGATTTTGTAAAATCTTAGTCAAAAGACAAGTAATTTTTTAAAATGACAAGTAATTAACTTGGATTCATACATCACTCCTTGCTTGCAAACAGTGTAGATTAATCAAAACTGTTAGAAAGAAATACGATACATAGACAAAATTAATGTGAAAAAAAATTCAGAAGCCATAAGGATAGAATTGATAAGCATTAGCTAATAAGGCTAAGATTACCATAAATTAACTCAGACATTTACATGGGTAAAGTTTACATAGAACCGCAAGGTTAATTTTCTGAAAATATTTTTAATAAAACATTTGAAAAGGCAACCTAATATGTAAATGATAACTAATTCATACTTGGAAAAGGTTGTAACCCATACAAGTCTTGTGCAGTATTCGTATGACATTTTCAAAATCTCTAAACATCTTAAATACATGGATAGCAATTTAACGTCAAGGAATTTATAATCCCAGATTTTTATGTTCAAAACCACAATGATATTTGTACAAGGATGTTCACTGAGCCAAGTGTGGTGGTACAGAGCTGTATCCCAGTAGCCTGGGAGGCTGAGGCAGAAGAATCACAAGCTCAAGCTCAGCACGGGCAATTTAACAACTTAGCAAAACCCTCTCACAATATAAACATTTGAAGAAATGACTGGCGATGCACCTCAGTGCAAAGGCCCTATGTTCAATTCCCAGCACCACAAAAACAAAACGAAAGAAAGAAAACTGTTTACTGTAGTACTTGTAAAGGTTTTTGTAAAAAAACAAATCTGGAAGCAACTGAAATATTTATAGAGAAGGAATGAAATAATTATGATGCAGTATATCTAAACAGTGAAACACTACTCATCTACTAAAAAGCATCCAGTAAGGCTGGGCGTGGTGCAGTAAGAGGAGTGGTGGCCCATGATTATAATCCCAGCACTGTTGGGAGGCTGAAGCAGGAGGATCAAAAGCTAGCCCATTTGGCAATTTAGCAAGACCTTTTCTCAAAATAAAAAAGGGGTGAGAGTGGAGTTGTCAGTACAAAGGCTCCAGGTTCAACTCTCAGGACCACGAAACAAAACCAAACCTATAAACACACATGTGTTAAAATAGAAAGATATAGAAGTTGTAAGTGAAAAAAAATCAAGTTAAAAACAGTATATGTAATATTAAGGAAAAAAAAACATAGAGGTGTATAAACACACATGCACACACACAAAACCTTTGAAGGAAAACCAAAAAAGTACATGCAAGTAGCTCTGTGAAAATAGAGGCTGGGCAAAAAAAGGAGGAAACTGCTTTAACTTTGTGTTTTCACTGACTTCAGCTTAAATAACTTTTTAAGAAAAAGTGAAGTATTTTTGCATAATTTATTCTCTTCATGAATATATGGAATGAAAAAAACACTATTTTTATTTATCTATATATATCCTAAATGCCTTCTGCATATCACATACTATGATTTAAACTGGATTGAGGGCCAGGGATTTAGTTCAGTGGCACCGTGCCTGCCTCACAAACACAAGGTCCTGAGTTTGATCCAGTACCAAACCAAACAAAACAAAGAATAGACTGGGGTTGAATGACTCTATCAGAATGAAAAGCCCACACCCTAAAGACAACTCTCGCAGTACACATGCATCAGAAAAGACAAAGCTACAACAGTGTTTTCTAAGCTTTCTGAGGACAGGCAAGGCTCACGACAAGTAATCAAAATTCAATAAGCTGAAGCTTAAATCTTACAGATGAAATACACTAGGACTCACAAAAATGTATGAAAACCTGAAAACAAGTACATATAAAATACCACCAAAGACGGGAAGGGAACAAGAAGTCCGTTAACAAGTGAGTTCAAGGCTACTTTTAGAAAGGAACACACAGACAAAACTGGAGGGCTTTAAGGCCAGACAACTGTACAAGTTAAAAGACTTGTAAAGAGACTGTAAATTCAACTATTTTCATTTCCTAGTCATAGTATTATAGCTCACCCTTAAGAATAAAGCTGCTAAAGCCGGGCCTGGTGGCGCATGCCTGTAATCCCAACACTCAGGAGGCTGAGACAGGAGGATCACTGTGAGTTTGAGACCAGCCTGGGCTACATAGTGAGTTCCAGGTCAGTCTCAACTACACAGGGAGACCCCGTCTCAAAAACCAAAAAAATAAATAAATAAATAAAAAATAAAGTTGCTGATAGGTGAAATGCAGTGGTTTGCTGGGAGAATGTCTAAGAGGAGCCCGGACATGCAGCTGTGGCCGAGTTCCTAAATACGGAGCCCCAGTCATGTAACAGCATTTGAATTCCTAGAAATGTACCGACAGGTTCTCCAAGTCAGCACACCCCTGGGAACCTGGTATATTAACACAAGGGTCATCTTAAAAACTACTATTTTCCCCCACTTCTACCTTATGGTGTAACATGTATACATATGCTAATATAGACAAGCCATGAATAAGCAGATTAATAAATTTCTAAAAGTGAACTATTTGGGCTTTTCAGAAGAAAACTGCATATAATTTTCTATTACAGAAACAACTATTTCAAGGAAAAATATAAATTTTCTTAAATATGATAATTAAACTAGGTAACTTCTTAGTAGGATACTGAAATCTCTTAAACAAAATTCCATGAACAGCTGAAAGTTGTGATTTAATGAGTAGTATTAAATGGTACTGCCTTTCCTGTCTCCTAGACAATTTTTTAAACTTTTTTGAAGCACAGCTCACTGCTCCTCCTGCTGGAAACAAAGGCAAATCTATCTCCAGAAAGGAACAGGAGGCGGTATGAACGACCTTCCTCTTTTCCGTGACAGAAAATGAGGATGCAGACTCTGGCAAGACTCAGTGACACTGAATCCAGACTGCAGGACACAGCAGAAGAAAGCTGACAGCAAGTGGCCCTGAACCAGAGCACAGCACAAAGAAGGGACACGCTCTCCTGATAGAACAGTCATGATCGTGGCTGCACTGACAGGTGTTAAAATTCACATGATCACATGTGGCTCTCCAGGACACGACACACTCACTACCGTGTTATCTGCTCCTTCACACCTTGATGGGGCTGAGGATCCATCCTGGATTCCAGTCCTCCCAACCTGTCCCACCTGTCACCAACAGGGACTCCAGCAGCAGTTACTCCTCCACATGATCATTGCTACCAGCGCACAAATGACCTCTCATCATTGTAAAAATGTGTTGTTCAACTTACTGAGGTACGACTTACATGCAATAAAGCACATTCATAAGTGCACAGTACATACAGTTGTGTGCCCGACATTTCTACTACCCAAAAAGTTCTCTCGCGTCTCCCTGCAATCAATCAGCCCCAGGTGACGTGTGACCGTGTCCCATCATTATCACCAGGGTGGCCTGCTACTGAGCCTCACAGATTGAGCCCGACAATTCGTTGAGATTCGTCCCTGTTGTTCCTGAAGTACGTTTTGTCACTGAATCATTTGCCAGAGAAAGAACAGTTTTAACTTTAACTCAGAAGAGAAGGAAAGAAGAAAAGACAAAAATAAAGAGAAGCTGCCAAGTGAAAAATGGAAATAGAATAAATGATACCTAGCTCCCATGCCCTTAGTAGAGACAAGGCCTAACCAGACTAAGATGGGCTGGAAGAGAAGAAAAAGTGCCAGAGGTAGTTAACCAGAAGGGGCTGGAATGAGGACACGCCTGCGGAGAAATCAACTTCCTAAAAGGCAATCTGGGAATGTAAACCAAAGCTTTTAAATTGTACATACCTCATACCCAGCAAGTCTGCTGCTAAGACGAAATCCTAGGTCAGTAACGAGAAGTGTGCAAAGCTGTAACTATGGAGCCATGTACTGTGGCACAACTGGCACGGCTTACATGTGCAACCACAGGGAGTTGGTCAAATAAATTATGCGACACTCTTCACCTGGAATGTTGTACTGGCGTTTTAAAAAGACAGTCACAATGTCTTGCTCATTTACTCACTCTGCAAATGTTCCCCATGTGTTATATTGCGCTACACCCATGCTCCAACTCCTGCCCCGTGCAGCCTACATTCACAGGAAAAATAGGACTTAACAACAGATGGAGGGCTGGGGATTTAGCTCAGTGGTTCCGCCGCCTGCCTCACAAGCACAAGGTCCCGAGTTCAATCCCCGGTACCAAAAAAATAAAGAAACAATAGATGGCATAGAAGACTTCACTTTTACAGTGCCCTGTATGTATGCACTTACCTGCTGTTATGTGCTTTAAAAAAAATGCATTAACCAGAAAGACAGGAATAAGGGCACTGTTTCCCTTATCTGGATTTTCTATGCATTCTAATATAAGGATACATTACCTTTGTATTATCTTTAAAATCTCTTAAAAACAAATTGTCACAGAGGATGTGGCCATGTTGGAAAAAGTACTGGCCCCCCGGAGTGTGGGGTGCGTCCTTACCTCATCCTCGGTGTGCTGCTCGGAGGTCAGCTTAAGCACGGTCCTGCACTGGTCCACAAAGGAGCTTGCAATCAACTCAGCATGGTGCAAAAACACGGAGATCTCATCCTTGGTCAGCTGTTCGTCGTTCACCAGCTTGGCAATCATGAGGTCTAACAGGGTAACCCTGGAAAGTAGAAGGTGTCCACCTGAGTAGATAACACGTGACCTGTACAATCCTAGAAATGCGTATGAGGTCAACTTGAGGGGAGTATTTTTATTTTAAATTCCTCGCCTTACTACAGTGTCTAGTTAGGAAAAACATTTTAGAGTAAAGCAAACCTTCACTAATTACCTATTTTTCAAAATCTTGAATTCTTTCATGTGACTTAGCTATCGACACAAGAATTGTCTAATGCACTTTTTCTATCTATTTTCTATCTATTACTTTTGGGATGGAAGTAACTGGACAGTTCAGAAACACTGTCAGTTAAAGTTGCATGGAGACTAGCAAAATAATACTAGCAAAAGGAAGTGGGTCCCACTCATTATGAAAACTGAGCTAAGTATTACACACATCATCTCATGCAGTCCTCACAAGACCTCCAGAGGGGGGGTCCTGCCCTTGACCTCTCTTGAAGGTTTGTAAAGGCTCAGTGAGGTTAATTAACTGGCCTGTGTCACACAAACACAAAAGGGCATGGGCCAGGAGATGAAATCATTCGTCTGACAGTCTTCCTTCTCCTAGGAAAAATCAGCCACACTGAGGGTAATCCATGCAGCATAAATCATATAGGACATCTGCTCAGAATCACAATTATATTTGGGATTGTATGTGTAATTCTCAGTTATTTATATGCCAGAAAGGGTGTAAATAACTACAACACTTAGCAAATGGGAGAAAAGATACCAAAATTAGGCATCTCTTACCAAAGGAAAACTATGAATTGTCTACTGGGTCAAGTAAGAAACAAAACTATAATGAATGAATATTTTGTGTTATGTTTTATTTCTTACTTAAAGCAGTAAACAATTCATATTTTTATTTATTACTTTAAGCACTGATGTAAAAAAGGCATAGGTTTAGCCTTCAGATTTGTGTTGTGGCAGGCAAAAATAATTAAACACACCCAAAGCCAGGACATCGATAGCCATGACAGTGCAAGTAAAGAGACCCCTTGAGGGCCGGGGATGTAGCTCCTGGTGGGAGTGCCTGCCTAGCAAGCGCAAGGTCCTGAGTTTGATCCCCAGTACCAGGGGGGAAAAAAAAGAGAGACATCTGATCGGTATTTCAGTTCTTTATTGCAACACTTCCATCAGGGGACAGCCATTAGCATCTCCTTTTTGCAGATGAAATGAACTTCTAAAAAGATCAGGTAACTTTTCCGCAGTAGTGAGTGGCCCAACTAGACTCGGCCCTTTCCTACAGCACACAAAGGTTATAACCTGAACACTGCACACGCGGCTTGGCCAGCACTCAGCCTTCTTACCAGGAAGGGCGACCAGGATGTATACAAATGTAGGCCCTTTTTTATGACACGCACTACACAAACTGATTGTGGAGTCCACAACCAAAATTTTCTCACTAAATGATCTGCCCAAATCGACCACGAGCCCCTGAGCCAAGTAGTAACTCAACAACAATGAAAAGAGCCTGCACCTAAGAGACCTGGACTTGACACAGCACTGTCAAAGGTGCGTGGGACAACTTGCGGTCACTGCCACCACCCTGGGCAGGCAGGGACGGTGCTCACTGCTCACCCCTGTGCCCCAGGACCACCCACAGGTGCTGCAGGAATAGTCTTATTTCACTGATGAGTCCATGACGTGCTTCTACCAGTCAGACCGTGCGACCCAACGCGCGGCCCTACAGGTGTGGAAAGTCCTGGAGCTTCTGGCATGTGCGCTCAACCGTGGAGCCCTCATGTGTCCAAGGGTTCTCCACAAAAGTTCTTCGTCTCTGCCCCACAAAATGAGAAATGTTCTGAGTAACTTACTGTCTTTTGGTTTTCCGGAGCATTCCTGTGACGCCAGAGTTTACTCATAACCTGGGGTGGGGGAGCCCTAACCCAGATTTGTCATCACTGCCTTAGTCCTTCCAACCCTATTATCTGTGTACTGCTCGCTGGTCACGCAGGAACAGTGAACACACGAGGAGATCATCTCTCCTCACACTGCATGTTGTTGGGTGTTTCAGCTTTTTACGTACAACATGAAATCACCTTACGCTGTGTGCTTCGGGGGTAGGCAGCATAGTGCTGCGGTTAACAGCCTAGACTAAAGCCCAATGGCCCGGATCAAACGCCAGCCCTGCCATTTAGTGGCTGGGGCTGCCCCGTGAGCACCCTTCCTGTGCACCCATCCACAGGGCAGGTCCCCTGCGAGTGCAGGTCTGCTGGGGCAGTAGGATGGAAGAACTAACAGTCATAAGGTGCTTAGAACAGCCTCTGACTTACATAACAGGGGTTGTGTACAAATTTGTTAAGAAAAAAATATAAATGCTTTCGCTGATAATGTATTTCTAGTAAAAGCAAGTAACACTCAATAGTGCAGAATGCAGCAAAGACGGAGCTGTTCTTATTGTGACTTTTCTTTAACATTTAGAATGCAATCGATTAAATGTTAAATTTCCGACTTAGCACATCACTCTCATAAAATTTTGGAAAGAGAAAGGGCTTATTCCAGAATACCGCCCGAACAGCTCAGAACTCCTAACAGGGCTGTAACTTAATATCTGGTGTCCAAGGACAGCAGATCTCGCCCTGACTTCCAGCGCAGGAAGGGCGGGCTAGGCCTCCAGGAGTTCTAGCCTTCTGCTGGCCACAAGGCACAAGCACACCACACGGACACAGGAATCTCTGCTGCCCCCAAACACCAGGAACTGTAACACTATCTTTAACTCACACAGCTACTCCAAAACATCACTATCACCTAGATACGAAATGCTATTTTAAAAAAGCAGTAATCCTTTCTCAAATACTGATATGCTGGACAACTTCAGTGTTCTCGGCATTTAACATAAGAAACTCAATGAATATAAGTTCAGTTAAATATTAGATAAAGGAGCCAGGGACAGTGGTGCACCCCTACACCCAGCTCCTCCAGAGCCTGAAGCAGAGCATCACAAGTTCAAGGCCATCCCGGGTAACTCAGCAAGACGCTGTCTCCAAATTAAAAATTAAGGAGCTGGAGGTACAGTGGGGATATAGCTTGGGGGAGCGAGCCCCTATGTTGGATCCCAGTATAATACCAAAGAGAAAAAAGCACTTTAATATTCTCAAAGGTTTTTTGAACAAAAAAAATAATTTTACATTATCTCCAATATATATAATTTATAGGTAACCAATTATTGTCAGACTTGATATTAAATATTAACAAAGCTTAATCTTAAATCTGATTTTTTTTTTTTTAAGGTACCAGGGATCAAACTCGGGTCCTTGTGCTTGTGAGGCAGGCACCAGAATCACTGAGCTAAATCCCCGGCCCTATTTCCTGATTTTTTTAAGAGAATAAACAAATCCAAGTGGATATTCTCATATTTTCTTACCACACTCAACAGGCAGATCTTGCACACCCCACTCCGGAGACTATTACTCTAGGAGAGAACTATAAAATGATGCCTAGTGACCAAATAAAGGACAGAGAACTAAAATCCAACTAATTTGAAAACAGCACTCATAGGGAGGCCAGGTGTCCCTCACCGGCTGAGTGAATAAATAAAATAGGATGTGTGAGAGCATGCCAAAGATGACATGAGGGCAAACTAAAGCCATGACAAGAGAAATGAATTCCTAGGACACAGAGATGGTAGAAGTGACAAGGGTTATTGCTCAGTGTGAACCAGAAAGTTCAGGAGGAAGAGCTGAGAGTAGTTCTAAGGATTCTAACTCACAGTGGGTGATATTAATCAGCCCACTAGATAAACCTTTTATTAAGGAGTAAGGAAATTTGTTCGTTCACTTATGCTTTCATTGAAAAATCAGTTTCTTTCTAAAGCACCTGCTACATGCCCAGCACTCTCTGAACACATGAGCAGCAGAGAATAAGAAGGATATAATCCTTGCCCACGTGGCTCTAACAGCCTAAGGGTAGTGTGCTACAAGCAAGCAGGGACACACCACAATGGGACACTTGTGGAAGAGAGTGACAGCACATCTTTGGGATAAGGTACAGCAGGAGCAGAGGAGACTAATAAGCAGGACCTTGCAAGAAGAGGGAAACAGCTGCTACAATTTTTCAATAAGAGTGGGAAGTCATTAGTCAATCATCCGCAGTTGTGTAACACATCATTTAAAAAAATTATTTCACAGAAACATGGAGTGCATACATAAATTTGAGTATCAAATTATAGCAAAGCTATGTATGCTTATATCCAAGTGCTCCTTGATGCAAAGCAATTACTAAGTCTTAGTGCTGCACATCCTTTCATTTTAAGCCAAAACACTACAACAATTATTCTTGTGCATATGATGGAAGAGGAGGTAGCGACTCTGGATTTACAAATCTAGTATTTAAATTGACTTTCAAAGCATGAGCTGAAAGTTATTACAGAAGGAAAAAAAACTAACAAAAATCTGCAAACGAGTGTATAGAGCTTAACTGTCAGAATCTAAATGCACACTAAGAATTCCAAAGCTATTGCAATTATAAAACTTGTGACTAAAATCAAAAGACTGTAAATTATTTAGCTTTTTGATCATTAGATCTGTGATTTCTGGATACACTCCATTTCCTAAGGCAACATCGCTAATAAGATTACAAAACAACACATGCTGCTGGAATGGAAAGTGTACTGCAAATGATTTTACTCAATTCTTTTGTTTAACAGATCAAGAAACTGAATCCAATTAAGGTGGAAAAACCTGGCTACAGTACATACAGAATTACTGTCAGAGCAAGTCACAGAACTAAAGTCTCAGCACTTACTACTGCAACAGCTTTAGGAACGTGGACAGGTATCATTTTCTTTTCGTCTGCATTACCTATCAAAAGACAACAGGCCTAACAGAGGATATCCCAGATTATACCAGTGAAATGAATAAATGAGTGTACCTCCAATGTATAACTATAATACATACTCGCATAAATCACTATTATAAAATCAAGGCACAAGCATAACATTTTGTTCTTAAACTTTTTTTGTTAGATATGTCTCTACTGCATAAAGGCATCAGCCCAAATTCTGCAACCCCATGTAAATCATCGCCTGTTGTGGCTGAGCTGTAATGTTAACCAACCAATTTGAAACCAGCACCGACACAGCAACATGTACTTAGAGGTCTGTGCCAAGTACGAAACCGAAACCGCACAGCTCTTCAGCCTGGGCTGCAGGATGCTCCGTACGGAATGCTAACTATGTAAAACCACGCTGGTTTGGGGGTTACCTTTCTTGATGGCTCAGTTTGGCGTACATGGCTTGCACCAATTCCGGGTTTTTCAGAAAGTGGTCTGTGATAATCAGGAACCTAAGAGGAAAAAGGGAGAGAAATTCAGCTACTAGAAATGTGAGAAGGATCAGACCTTAGCTACCATACAGATATATCCCATACGAGTGCACTTCCCTGAGCAATTCCTTCCACTGAATTTATTTTGCTGTAGTCTTAAATGTTTCAGAAGGCTCACATAATATTTTTCTATTAGCAGCTAAAAGGAAAAAAAAAAATCATTTACTCCAAATGAAAATTTTATGGAGATTCAACTCCATAAGAAAAGGCCTATTGGGCCGGGGATTTAGCTCACTGGTTCCACCGCCTGCCTCGCAAACGAGAACCAGAGTTCAATCCCCAGTACCAAAAAAAACGAAAGAAAGAAAGAAAGAACGTATTATAACTGTTATCTAAGCTGAGAAAGAAAAACCTTCACTATGAACAGTAATATGAAATTTACCTACAAGTTCAGGTACAGACAGAAAACATTACCTTGTTTTAGTCAAAATCTAATGCTACAAAATCAGGCAGAGAAATAGACATGTTACATTTTTATTTAAAGATAAGCCAACAATACGGTAATGAAGCCTGGCTTTATTTTCCGCTCTTTTTAAGAGTTCTCAAGTTACCAAGAAAACATCCTCAGTGTCAACCAATGTGTTCATCTGAACTTAAAGAGATCAACTATGAAAGCCCCAAGGCAAAGATTATAGGGCATATTTCTTCAAAGTACCACTGTGACAGCTAAAAGATTGAATAGCATTATTAATTCTGAATTGTATTTACCAGAGGGCATCTGAGGGAAAGATTTAAGAACTAAGGAATAGACTTTATAACCAAGGTTACAGTAAGGAGAGTTAAATGTTATGTATTAAATATACTAATACACAGTTTAATCACTTGTTAGCAAATAAAATATACCTTTCAGTACGATAACCAAATGAAGCATATTAACTACCATGTAAAAGAAAATCTAGGGCTAGGGGTGTAGCTTGGCACTAGAGTGCCCGCCTAGCATTCATAAAAACCTGGGTTCAATCACCAGACCCACAAAACAACAAAAAAAGGAAGATCTAAACAGCTGTTTTATTTCTTCTAAAACCTTTAAAATGGCCAATAACACTCTGATATAAAATATTTCTAACAATAATAGATAATATTCAAATTATTCAATCAGCATGCATATTAATTTAGGTAGGTCAGCAAGTAGCAATAACAGGAATTCATGCATTCCAAGCTGGTTCACAAACAAGGGATCCTAAAGCTCATTCATAATTTAACTACTTGGAACTCAGAACATTTTCCCAGAAGAGCATTCATTCCAAAACACAATAGTCCAAACACTGTACTAGGGATTAGATACAAGCCTTAGTTCTAAAACTATTCTCTAATCACTGGAGAAAGGCCCATCAGTAGATAACCACAGAAGAATGTACAAGCGTACCATGTAGACACACATCGTGTATTAGAGAAAGAGCAAAGTGTGAAATACACAGGGGCAGAGGCAGGGGATCAAAGAAGCCAGAGAGAAGTTCTGTGAATTCTTGGTGAAACTCTGAGAAGAGAAGATTTATACTGGAGGGGAATAAAAGAATTCAGAAAATAGTATGAAAGCAAGAACAACAGTGTGTTCAAAGAACTATAAGCAACCAAATATTATTAGGGGTTGTGGTTCAGACCGAAAATGTCCCCCAAAGTCTCATTCATCCAGAGGTGAGGGTTTGGGAAGGTGACTGAATCACGGGGGTTCTGTACTCATAGGTGGATTAATCCACTGATGAGTTCAAAGCTAAATGTGCAATTAGGAGGTGGGGCCTGCTTGAAAAAGGTGAGTTACTGAGGATGTGACCTGGAAGGGAATGCTCTTGTCTCTGGCTCCTCCTTTCTCTCTCTGCTTTCTGATGCCATCAGGTGAAGAGAGTTTCCTTCACCACGCCTTTCCACCAATCAGTTTCTGCTTTGGAGCCTGCCAACCTTGGACTGAACCCACAGGAACTGTGAGCCAAATACCCGCCCACTCCTTAAATTGCCACGTTATGTATTTTGTCCCAGGGATATGAATGTGAGTAACACAGGGGTTCTAGAGGGATTCAAGCCACCGAGCTACTACCCTTGGAGCTGGGCATGCTTCTGGAAAACATCCCTCAGTAGTCCCAGGAGTCACCTCCAGCCAGGCTTGAGCTCATACAGATTGAAGTAATCCCTGTACCTACTTTCAAGACGGTCATAACTAATATCTTCTTTTTTCTTGATCAATTTTGTTGCACTTTTAAAAGAACTGACTTTTGCCTTTGATTTTTCCAGTCTTTGCTTTCTGTTTCACTATTTCTGCCCTCATTATTTACTATCTCCTTCTTTCTTACTCTGGATTTACTGTGCTCTTCTCTTTCTACCTCCTGGAAGTAGGCAGAAAGATCTGGAATCAGTGATCTAATGTTCCACAATTCTGGGGAAGACAGTCATTTTGTTACCTGATGTGGAATTTGTGAATGGAAGCAATTTTTTGCTAAACGCTTCTGTTGGCGAACTGAATTGTTTACAAGCAGAAGTGTTCACAACAGGTCACTGATTCCAATTTTAGTGTATGTGCTGCCAAAGCAAGCACAACAGGTCACTGATTCCAGATCTTCCTTGTTTCCAATGTGTGCAGCATCCAAAGCTACAAATCTAAACGCTGCTTTTGCTCTATCCCATGTATCCCAGTGATGGGCCTTCGATACTACCCTTTGTCTTTTGACTTCTTTGACAAATCAATTATTTAGATGTCTTAATTTCTAAAGATTTAAGAATTTTCTAGACATCTTTGTGTTATGGTGACCTGAGAACATACAGTAATACCTCAGTTTGTGAGCACTTCTGCTGCAAACAGTTCAGTTCATCAACAGAGGCATTCAGCAAAACTTTCCTTCTGTTCACTAACTCTGCATCAGGTAACAAAATGACTACAGTTATCTTCCCCAGAAATAGGGACTGAATTAAGTCCATGAACCGAGGTGCAAGATTTCCACCCTTTATACCACACAGCCCAGCTTAGGGTCAACACTGGTGAATTTGACACAGGCAGAGAAAGTCACAGAGCCTTTCTGTGGCAGCCTTGCCCAGAAGGTTCACTTCTTTGTTTCTATCTACACCTTCTGCTGAAAGCAGCTGTCATAATTTCCAAGTATCACTTCTGTTTCTGGGCAGAAGACAGTAACAACTTACCCTTCCACAGTAAATAATGTAAAAACAGGCAACATCTGTTTTCAGACAATGGGCAACAGAAAAAGTACTTTGGAGAATTTCTTTATAAACAAAAATCCTAACAAATATTTGATAAATGTGATGTGATCAACATGTTTACAAAATCCTTAAGAACTTTTAACAGTGAACTGAGAACACAACAAAGGAAGAGTAAGTACCATGTCCTGGGGTGAAGTTGTAAAATTGAAGGAAAAGGTTTCCCATGGATGGCCTAGGGAAGGGGCAGGAAATATGGCAAAAATAAAAAAAAAAAAGAAAGCTGAGTCACACTACAATGGCACTGTTACTGGGACTGCATGTGAATCGCCTTCCCATTACTGTAACAAATCTCTGAGATAATGACACAAGAAAAGGCTTATTTTGGCTCACAGTTTAACATTTCAGTCTATGATCACTCGGCCTGTGGATAAGTCCCAAACATCTCAAAACATGTGCTAGCCAATGCTTATGTAAGAGGAATTTTTAGAACCCAAAGTATCCCATACAACATTTCATAAAGAAGATATGCACTGGAACCTTTTAAAAAGTCACAAGTTGCACTCCATATCCGATTAGAAGGAGAGTGAGGACTACACAGAGATTTTGAGAAGCACTTCTGGTGGCATAAAGAGATGTTTCTGCATACATACACAGCAACCATATTAATTGCTACAATCAGAAACAGATGTTCTAAGCAGTGCACATCCTGCAGTGGTTTGGGTTGTACCTTTTTAATTAAACATTTGTATTTTGAGGTAAATATAGGTTCACATGCAGTTTTAGGAAGTGATTCAGTGTAGCCCTTACCTAGTTTCCCGAAGGGTAACATTTTGTAAAACTACAGCACATCACAACCCAAATACTGACACTGGTAAATCCAAAGACTCCACTCACGTTACCTTTACAGTATGAGTGTGTGTGTTAAACAGTATGTGGTTTTTCTCTCACATAGGTGGGTTTATAAATTCACAATCACAGTTAAGATACATAGCAAAGGACTCCTCCTGAGGCCCCTTTACAGCCACACCAATTTACATGTCAAGTATCCCTCCTCAATCTGATACTTCTATGAATGTTATAGAGGGCCAGGGATCACAAGCATAAGGACCCAAGTTTGATACCTAGTACCCCCACCGAAAAGAATGTTATATAAATGGAATAATGTATCATTTAAGCTTTTGCGATTAAGTGGGTTTTTTTACTATTTAGTATAATTCTCAGAAGATTTCCCCCAAATTACTACTTCTATCAATAGATACTTCCCTTTTGATGCTGAGTAGTATTTCAGTTTTTGGTTCTGTTTTAAGAATTTGAATAGGACTGGGCAGGCAGTAAGATTTTATAATTTCTATAAATTCCTTTTTTAAAAGGAAATAGTCTGAGTCACACTTCTGTACAGAATGCTTGATTTTTATGGTGAACCATAAAACAACCTCACTACTATTTAAAACATATGAGATCATATAAAATGTGTTCTCCAACCACAGTGGACTGAAATTAGAAATCAGTAATAAAAGGAAATGTAGGAAATATAGAGATATGTGGAAATTAGACAAACTCCTAAAAAACCAGTAGATTCAAGAAACCATAGGGCAAAGTGAGATACAATTTGAAGTAAGTGAAACTTATCAGACTCTAAATTGTGGGATGCTAAAGCGGTTTTTACAAGGAAATTTATAGGTGCATATGCCTACAGAGGAGAGAAGGGAGAGTCTCAGCAAAGCCTGTGCTGCTCCTGACAGGAGTGGGTAGAGGCCTGAACTCCATGGTGGCTCTGTCCTCAGGCAGGCTGTCAGGAAGCAGGCTATCTTGTTGTTCTGATAAGGTAAGGTGCTTTCCACCCCAGCCCTCTCAGAAAATAGAATCGCACAGTCAAGATGTAGCTTTTCCACAATGGGGCATCTCACAACTTACATGCCAATCATGCAGGCCCTTCTGGTGTGTGGGACCAGAATGGCAGGGAGCTGGACCCTCTGCTGCTCGCCTCTGTCCCCTTAATGAACAAACTCTAAAGCCACAAATGGCTGCTGTACCTTGTAGCTTTACTGGTCACAGCAGTCTGGCTCCACCTTGGCCTGTGTGCCTGATGTGGAATCTCAGGAGGAAAGAACATAAAACTGGAAAAGTATTGAAGTGAATAATAAATAAACTTCCCAAATTGCATGACACAGAAAAGCTACAGGTTCGAGAAGGTGAGGGAACCCCAGAAAGAACACACCCAAGAAATCCATGCCAAGATGTCACTTCTGAGAAGACAAAAATCTGCAAAGCAACCAGAGAAGTAATGCTTTCTGTGTAGGAAGTGATGTGACCAGTAGTGCGAGGCCCAGGCCGGGCTCTGGTCTCAAACAAACCATCTGCTGTGGCCACTGTGTGGGATCTGTGTGCTCTGAGGGTGCCGAGGCATGTGCATGCTGTGTTTTTGCACATCAGGAGTGTCCTCCCCTCGCACACCTTACACAACCTCTTTAACTCTTTAAGGCACAAGCCAAGCTCCACTTCACCCCTTTCACAGATTCTCCAGCATCCACTCAAAACCTTTTCTAGTTCTGAGGGCCACATGGTTAAGTGTTGACTTACAGTGTGCTTATGATAATTCGAAGTTTTAGTTAAAACCACTACAAGGAAGGTAATCTGTCAGGATGTCGGTAAGCAATCAAACTTCTAACAAGATACTTACGGCCATTCTGATTCCGGCTGCTTTTGGTGAGCTTCTATGACATTAATCGCAATATTGAGGTTTTCTTCCAGTTCCTTCATTCTTTCGGGATTAAGAGACGTGAATAAGATCATTGAGCAGTAGGCAACAATTTTTTTGTCGGGATGATTTAAGCAAGACCTTCCAAACAAAGAAATAAGATTTTTAGTCCAATTCAGCAACCTAAGATGGGATTATAACACATAAGTAACAATTATCCCATTAGCAAATTCAGTACTGATATTTTTAAGGATTACTGAGTGCCGAATATTTGTGAGGATTACTGATATTCAGAGGTACTGATATTTTTAAAGATCTGATGAAGCTTTATAATGTTTTGAAACAAGTACTTTGTGTAAAAATAGCAAAAATAAATTCACAAAAAGTTGCTGTTGACTTAGGACTCAATCAAAAAGCAAATAACATTTAATTAAAGATAAAAGATAAAAAATGATGACATTCATAAAACATTATGATCCTCATTCTTGTTAGGAAACCCAAGAATGGCTGGGTTCGTGTGTGGCCGGTAGCACAATGTCTGCCTAGCACACAGGAAGGTGGGGATTGAATTTCCACCACCAAAACAAGAGGAGGGAAGGAGAGAAGGAGGGAAGGTAAGGAAAAGAAAGGAAAGAAGGTACAGGAAAAGAAAGGAAAGAAACCTCTAGGCAAAAAGCGACCAGAAGCACCATTCAGTAGTCTGAAGAACAGATGGTACGGTCCAGTGCCAACTGACAGAGCTTGGGGTCAAGTGTAATTCCTAGCTCACCTACCTGCCAGCAACACGACCTTAGGAGAGTCACTTATTTCTTGATTGTCAATATGTCCCAGCTCATGTGCTGCAGCAGGACGCTTTTCCATTTAAATTTTACAATTAAACAATCTGTTAACTCTACTTATCCAGTGGCATGAAGCCAGTACCTGCCAAAACTGGAATTCAGATTCGATGCTGTCTCATAAATGCGTACAGTGAAATCACATAACCTTTCAGTATGTTTTGTTATAAAAAGTGAAACACAATAAAAGACTTTTTCCAATCATCTCACAGGTCTTTAGTGAAGATAAATAAGGTAATACAAGAGCGCTGTGTAAACTGTTAAGATAGCTCTGTTCAAGGGCCTCTCCTTTGTTTTCCTACTGCACCCTGGTTTTATCCTCCCTACATTAGTTCTTACACTACAGCATACTTTCCAGTCCCTTTCCCTCCAAAGCATGGAATCCTAGAGAATAAGTTACCACTGTATTCCAGACATGTAGCTCAAAACTCAGCAGATGTGAGGAACCAAAAATGTCTTAAAGGAAGTAATTCTCAAAAATGAGTAATGTCTATTCCTGTACCTGGAACCTCATCACTCTTTCCTTCTACCTAAGTTCAATTATTATTGCTCACACGATGGCAGACTCACACACACACACCTTCAACTCTAATTATGTGCAGGAATTTGAGGGAGGACGACCTAGGGAGCTAGAAGTGCACTTGTCTGTGTGATCCTACACCAGTACTTTACAGATGCACCCGGAAAATCTACACAACTGGGGGAGGCAGACCTGCAGCAGCGTGCTGCTTATACAATAAACAGGGAGGCTGTGGGTACAGACAGCACGGCCAGGTTCACATACCAGCTTTGAACCATGTACCAGCAACAGGCCTCAGGTCCCTCCTCTGTCCACACAGGGACAGTCCTCTCATCCACAGGGCTGCAGGGAGGACAGGGGCAATATACATAAAATGCCAAGCTCAGGGCATTTACACAATAACTGCTGCTCTGCTGCTGACAATGGTGCCACCGCCAGCACACCTCCATTCATGGGCACCATGCCTCAGATTAGAAGTTCAGCCTTCTGACCCCAGACAGTGCCTTTCCCACTGCTAAGCCAGCCTCCATCTGCTCATCTCTGATCCCAACGCTCAACTTTTTATGAACAACAGAGCTAGTTTTAAAAAGTAGTACATGACCAGGAAAAGATGCAGAATCCAATCTAGATAAATGGACAAAGAATCTACTTCCTACACTGAAAAACAGACCATTTACCCATTTCTTACACTGATAATGGACTGGTTATCCACCTGTCACACTGAAACTAAACTTCTTAGCCAAATCATCTTACACTGATGGAATGGTTACCCCATTTTACACTGATAATGACTGGTTACCCACTTCTTCCACTAAGAGACAAACTGGTTATGCACACCTTAAATGGACAAAAATTGATTATTTACACCTTGGAATCCTCCATACCTACCAAAATATGCTATGCATATAAATAGTAAGTATATAAAGGATTTATTCACTATTCATAGCTTAATGTTTCATGTTAAATTCAGGTGTCCTTAGCAATGCTACTTACTTTATGTCTTACTTTCGGAAATGGTCACGGACATACATACAGTCAAGGTCACACATCTTTTTTTTTTTTTTTTTTTGTACTGGAGATAGAACTTGGGTCCTTGCATTTGCAAGGCAGGCGGTGGAACCACTGAGCTAAATCCCCAGCCCAAGGTCACACATCTTAAGTGTGCCTACAGCTCAGTGAACTGGCAGCCACCACCTAGATCGAGACAGAATACAGCCAGGACCCAGCACTCTCCTAGCTGCCACCCATCTCCCAGCACCTGCCAAGGATAGCTACTGTCCTGAATTCCATTAATGTGGCTTAGTTTTGCATTTTTTTAAAACTTCATATAAAGGAATGATGTAATGACAGTCTTTTCAGGAGTTAGAAAAATTCCTATCCATATACTCACACGAAGAGTTCTGGGAAAGCATGCACCCAAACAATAGACTGGGAGTCTTCATTCCGTGAGGCGATATTGCCCAAGAACTGCAGGCCACAGCGGAAAGCTGGGAATGCGGAAAAGTAAAACAAAGATCTCTCATTAAACACATGAATGAGTACACATGAATAAGACATGGTCCTCATGTTACTAAGTAGAAGTTTCTGTTTGTTTCTTTTAAATATAAAGGTCTCTCTCCACAGTGAAATTTTAGGTATAACATTAATAATGCCTCATCAAAGCCATATATTCTAAACAAAATTAATTAACTTCTTTACTATAAACGTAAATATAAATATACCTATAATTACATTCAATAACCTGAATATGCACTACAATTAAAAGATAGCTACACTTAGAATGGATTTTTTAAAGCTCTAACTACATGCTATTTAAAACAGACATATCTGAAAATAAAATAATACAGACATAACTGCAGGAGGCTGAGGCAAGAGGGTAGTGAGTTGGAAGCCAGTCTATGCCACCTACAAATTTCAAGGACAGCCTGGACTACACCAAGATCCCGTCTCAACCCCACCCACCAGGAAAAAAATTAAAACAGACATATTTAAAACATAAGGTTGTGAAAACTACCGCAAGTTCAAGAGTGGTAAAAAGATATAGAAGACAAATAACAGCCAAAAAAATAAGCCACAGACCTCTTAAAATCAGACATAATAAAACTTAAGGCAAAAAGCATTATTAAAGTTTTTAAAAAACAATAATTAGATGATGACTTAATTTACCAGAGATACAACAATTTTTTTTTTTTTTTTGGTATCAGGGATTGAACTCGGGTCCTTGTGCTTGTGAAGCAGGCAACGGAACCACTAAGCTAAGTCCCTAGCCCAAGAAATCCAACAATTTTAAATTGGAATGTGCCTAATAACATGGCCTCAAATATATACAGAAGAAAAACTAACAAAAGTAAAAGAGGAAATAAAACAACTGACAATTACACTGGAAAATTAAAAGATACCTTTTTAGCAACTACAAGCAGACAAACAAAACTGTAGAACACTGGCCAAAAGCCCAGAGCAGAGACAGAACCAAGGCCGATGAGGGGGTGTAGCCACAGGAGGTCTCAGTCACTGCTGGTGGGAACCCTGAAAAGCAGCCTGGCAATTTCTTACAAAGCTAAACATATTATACCATATTATCCAGCAGCTGTGCTCCTAGGCATTCACCCAGCAGAGCTGAAAACGTATGCCCTCTGAAAAACCTGCACATGATGTTTGCAACTTTATTCCTATGTGCAAAAACCTGGAACAACAGGATGTCCTTTGGCAGGTGAGTGGCTACAGAATCTGTGGCACAGTCAGACAATGGAATATTATTCTGTACTAAAAAGAAATGAGCTATCAAGCCAAGGAAAGACATGGAATAAACTTAAGACACATATCACTAAATTCAAGAAACCAATATGAAAAGGATTCCAGCCATATGACATTCTGCAAGAGGGTAAACTAAGAAGAACAGAAAAATAATCCATTGCTGCCAGGGTTGGAAAGAGAAAAATGAATAGGCTGAGTACTGAGAATTTTTAGGGCATAAAAGTATTCTCCCCGATACTGCAGTAAGTGGTACATGCATGTCACTGGACATCTGGCCAACCCCACAGAACGTATAACACCAAGAGTGAACCTAACATAAACTATGGGCTTCCAGTGACAATGATGCATCACTCCAGCATGGGATGCTGACAGTGAAGGAAGCTATGGGTGGGTGGGGAGAGGGCACATGTACGAAATCTTGGTAACTCTCCTCTCGATTTTGCTGTGAACCTACAAAGTGCTCTAAAAAGTAGTCCATTGTTTTACTGTAAAATAAAACAGTTGAATAAAGCTGTTAGTGATGCCTTCCAAAAAGACTTCAGTTCTGTTCCCCAGTGGTGTGAACCTGGGCAAGTACTTTTTTTTCTTTTTTTGGTTTTTTGAGACAGGGTCTCACTATGTAGTTGAGATTGACCTGGAACTCACTATGTAGCTCAGGCTGGTCTCGAACTCACAGGGATCCTCCTGTCTCAGCCTCCCAAGTGCTGGGATTACAGGGGTGCGCCACCACGCCCAGCTAGGCAAGTACTTGTTACCCTTTGTGAGATCCAGTTTCCTCACCAGCTTATGCAGATGTTGTGGGAGGCTCTCTGCAGGGTCACTCAGGGGATGAGATGACAGCTTACAGTGTTGAGTGCACAGTAGGGATTACAGTGAAGCCCATTCAACCACCCTCATTACCAGCGTGCTGGGGGATGATAAATGTGAGCTTCTAAAGTCAGACATCCACAAGTGAAATGAAATCATAGGCGTGCTCCTGTGCCCTGGCTGTGAACAGAATCCCCGTGTACTCACTCTACCCAACCTGCTCTGAACCTGATTCCTGACACCAGGGATTTTATCCTCATCCATGAGCGCAGGAAACCAAGGCCCAGGGAGCTGAGGAACTAAACCAAAGTTCCACAATTATCAAGTATCTTCATTCAGGGTTCATCCCTGTGATTACATCAACCAATAAGCTAAAAATGTTATTTCATGCTTATCAGAAGCTCCATTTGGTAATTATGTATGAATCTGATGAACGAAAAAGAAAAATTTAATACTAACAACAAAACCCTGCAGAATGCCAAGTCTTCTCAAGGATATATAGTAAGCCATACAACATTTCACTACGTAATGGAGCATAACACAACTCTAAGCCAATTTTAAAGGACTGACTCACTGATAGTGATTATGCTAGACGTAATTCCCCCAAATAATCAGAAATAATCATAAGTTTAAAAGTCAAGAGATATATTTCTTTTTTTCTTTTTCTGTTTTTCTTTCTTTCTTCTTTTTGAGACAGGGTCTCACTATGTAGTTGAGACTGACCTGGAACTCACTATGTAGTCCAGGCTAGTCTCAAAGTCACAGTGATCCTCCTGCCTCAGTCTCTGGAGTACTGGGATTACAGGCGTACGCCACCATGCCCAGCTAAGAGATATATTTCTAAATAACCCACTCAGACAAAAAATAATTCTCAAAATCTTGCAATGCAATTAACAAAAACTGACTAAAACATTCTGTAAAATGTTCAGAGAAAGACTGAGAGTCTTAAACCCATTAGGGAATCTGAATCAGTAGTCAAAAACTTCTCACAAAGAAAATACTAACTGAGGGGCCAGGGATTTAGCTCAGTGGTTCCACCGCCTACCTCGAAGCACAAGGACCCACGTTAGATCCTCAGTACAAAAAAAAAAAAAAAAAAGAAAGAAAAAGAAAACACTAACTGAGATGGACAGTTCACATTCACAGGGGAAGTAACTCCAATTTTATACAACTCCAGAGAACAGAAGCAGAGTAGACTCCCCAGTTTTATGAAAGTAAACAGTATTTTAAAAAAGCAAATGCAGTAATACAAAATATGACAAAGTTAAATTTATACCTCCACTGAAAGCTGCTTTAATATTAGAAAATCAAAATGTACAACTGACCACACTGACCATGTATAAAGGATAAAAATCTTACGATCACAGAAAACATAGCTGATAAAATGTAACAGCTAGCCATAACCTAAAACAAAACAAAAAAAATTCCTAGCCACTAAAGACTAGAAGGAAGCTTCTTTAACCTAAAAATAGGTAACAACCACATACATGCACATAGAGATACACATACACAATATATATATAGCACACAGTATAACTCATGGCCAACTACAGATAGCACACGTGGGGGACTAGGTCCAAGGTACTGATGTCACCATTTCTAGCCAACACTGTACTGAAAATCCCAGCCAGCAAGATAAATGAAAGATCTAAGAACTGAAAAGGAACAAATTAAACTTATATTTCCCCCACACATGAGATAAAAATATAGGCAGAAAAAACTTTTAAATGTACAAGTTGGGGCCAGGGATTTAGCTCAGTGGCACTGCACCTGCCTTGCGAGAGCAAGGACCTGAACTCCACCCCTGGTACCAGTACAAGTTGTCTTCATTGATAAGAAAACATAAAAGTTGCTAGATACAAAGTTAGCATATTTTTAAAAATAGCATTTCTGTATACAGGAAAAAAATCAATAAGAGACCACTTATAAAAGGATCAAAAATATAACTGAAAGTGAGGTATAAAACCACCAAGGAAGAAACTATAAAACTTAACTGAAAAGCATTAAAGAAAAAATAAATAAGTAAAGAATTATGCTAGGTTCACAGAGGATTCAATTTTTATCTAGAGATTAAATGCAACACCAGACTTGGTCTGGAAAGAGCTATATGTGTGCATGAGCGTGCATGTAATGTCATATACCACAGGACAGATATACACTTGTGTATTATCTGATGAGAGGGTTCTAAAATTCATGTGAAGATACAAGGGCTAATAATAGCTAAGGTAGTGCTGAAATTTAACAAGGTAAGAGGATTTGTGTTTACATGGCAGTAAGCAGCTGTAGGTAAGACAGCGTGGGCCTGGGGCTGGAATAAACAGACCAACTAAACAACAAGAAGCAGACCCAAACCTTTACTGATTTATGATCAATGACAGAGGTGTGACAGCAATTCATTAAGTAAATGATGGTCTGTCCAATAACGGCACTGGCACAGCCGGGTATCGGTGTGGCAAAAAGTAACAGTGAACTCACAGAAAATCCTAGTCCAAGTACGGACCTCAATATGAAAGGCAAAAGTCAAAAAGCTTTAGAAAACACTGAAAGACTTTTAAACAGATGAAATAAATAGTCCCCATTTTAAAACTGAGTATATTAAAATTGGGAACATTAACTTTTTTTCTCAAATAGAAGAACAAAAACACAGAAAAAAGTAACCATTGACTAGGAAAAGATACATGGAATACATAACTGCCACTGGATGCGTACCTATAAAAGAGCTCCTATAAATCATTTAAAAAGACCGATAAGCCAACAGAAAAATGGGGAGGCATCATAAGAACAATTCATAAAATAAGATTCAAAAGGCAAAAAAATATATACGAAAAGGTGCTTGGCCCCATGGGAAAAGGCTCTCCACACCCACCAGACCAGCACAACTTCAAGTCAGAAAATGGTGAGGCTGTAAAGCAACAGGAACTAAAGG